ATTTTATTAAGTCCTAATGATTTTTTTTTATTCCACTTACTTTCAGTAAAAATCTTATTTACTTTGATTGTGACATCATCAGTGATTAACCCGTTTCAATCGACGTGTGCAGTGTGTCCAGGTGGCGTCGGCTCCCCCTGTAGTAACCGTGGTAAATGTGATGATGGTCACCTTGGTAACGGCACCTGTACCTGTGACGTAGGCTTCAGGGGCGTGGCCTGTGAGCAGTGCAGTGACGGGTTCTTCGGGCCTACCTGTAAATGTAAGCGGTTTCCTGAGTGACAGATGACCCTAAAGGTGTCGTGACCTCTGACCCCTGTGACCTCTGTTTTCTTTCAGCCTGTAACTGCTCAGAACACGGGTCATGTGACGACGGATGGAAAGGTACGGGGGCGTGTCTGTGTGAGGCGGGGTGGAGCGGCGAGCTATGTGACACTGAGCAGAGTGAGTGTGACGCTTGTTTCGAAACTGCTGAAACAACACGATATAAGTTTTATTTGAAATGTTTTTATTTGAATAACTTTATTAATCACAAACTTCAGAACCATTTTTTTAAAGAAATTCACAGTTTTATGTGTTTGTGTTTTTATTAGATTAATGTTCGTGATGATCCACTTTTTTATTGAAGATTTGTGGATTCTGATGAAACAGGATCCAGGTTCATTAAACTCATTCCATGTTAGTGTGAATCAGCTGACTGACGGTGTCTCATCTTGTCCAGGTCACGTCTCTGTGTGTTCTCCACCGTGTTCTCCTAAAGCCGTCTGTACGGAAAACAACACCTGCGTCTGTCGGCCATTTTATGAAGGAGACGGATTCACCTGCACAGGTAAACAGGAAACAGGAAGTAAGATTGTTGACATGACTGTATATGATGTCACTTCCTGATGATGTCATCACAGTAAATCAGTGTGTGTATCAGGAGCTGATCAGTCGTTCAGCTGCTTTTAATTTGCAAGAACATGATTGTCCTCTAACCACAAAGTCGGCGGTCGATCCCAGTCTTCCCCATCTGCATGCTGAAGAGAATCTGTACTGTAAAGTGCTTTGAGTCGTCATCAACACTAGAAAATATAAATAAAGACCAGAAGACGAAGAAAGACCTGACGCTGTCTGTGTTGTGTATAAAGTGACATCTGGTGTCTCCATGTCCTCAGTGGGGGACATGTGTCTTTATATGTTGTATATAATTCAATTCAATTTTATTTGTATAGCACCAAATCATGATATACATTATCTCAAGGCTCTTTACAGAGAAGGTCAGGACCTTAAAATCAAAATATAGAGAAACCAACAGTTGAACAATGAGCAGCACTTTGAGACTGTGGAGGAGAAACTCCCTCATTAACAGAGAGAAACCTCTAGAAGCAGACTCAGTGTGGAGACATCTGCCTCCACCGGGGGTGAGCAAAGAAAAAGGGGGGAGGAGAGGAGAGAGGGGGGGAAAGAGGGGAGAGAAGAGAGAGGGATAGTGGGGACGGGGAAGTAGGGGAGAGGGGGGGCGAGAAAGACCGGGGACACTTGAGCGCCATCAGGTATCAGATCTGACTAGTTAAAATGTAAACAGTGTAAAGACTTTTAATTATTATTGATAACAGGCACAATTCATATCATAATTAATTACTGAGATACTATAATTAATAATAGTGACAATCGTAAAAGTTGTTGTCCTGAGGTTCCGGGGTCAGAGATATCTGAAATGAGAGAGAGACTATGGGAGTGTAAAGTGAAATAGTCATTGACATGTATTAAAATAAATAAATGAATGAATGTGTGGGGGGGGGGCAGAGAGACAGAGAGAAGTGGAAAGGTTCTCAGTGCATGATGGGAGTTCTCCCTCAGTGCATGATGGGAGTTCTCCAGCATTCTAGACCTATAGCAGCATAATTAAGTGATGGTTCAGGACCTGATCCAGAACTATAGACTTTATCAAAGAGGAACGTTTTAATTTAACTTTAAATGTAGAGATGGTGTCTGACTCCAGAACCCAGAGTGGGAGCTGGTTCCACAGGAGAGGAGCCTGGTAGCTGAAGGTTCTACCTCCTGTTCTCCTCTTACAGACTCTAGAACCCAGAGTGGGAGCTGGTTCCACAGGAGAGGAGCCTGGTACCTGAAGGTTCTACCTCCTGTTCTCCTCTTACAGACTCTAGAACCACAGGAGAACCTGTGTTTTGTGAACGAAGTGATCTATCTGGATAATATGGTGTTATTAGGTCTTTGATATAATGTGACGTCTGGTCTCTCCATGTTCTCAGTGGCGGACATGTGTGGGGTCTGGAATGGCGGTTGTGCTAAAGGCGCTAAGTGTTCTCAGATAGGAGAGTTGGTGACCTGCACGTGTCCTAAAGGTCACTCTGGGGACGGGTTCACCTGTCAGCCCGTTGACCCCTGTGTCTCTGGAGACAATGGCGGCTGCCACGAACACGCCACCTGCACCATGATGGCTCCGGTGAGGAACGAGTCATTTAAACAGGTTTGGATTTGACGTCTCATCTGTCCTAACTTGAAGTGTCTGTGTGGACAGGGTAAGAAGAAGTGCACATGTAAAGACAACTACATCGGCGATGGTGAGACCTGTGAGGTCAAACAGCTGCCAATCAGCCGCTGTCTCCAAGGGAACGGACGCTGTCATCAAGACGCCAAATGTACAGATCTACACTTTGAAGGTACGGATCATAGGCTGAGTTCTCTTCCACATCATTGGATGCTTTGAATTAAGGATGGAGAGGGCATGTCTCAGCTGATCCAGTGAGAACCAATCAGCTGATAGAGTTTAGTCCTTGTATTGAACATGTTGTGTTTAATGTGTTGTTGTGTTTCTGTGCAGATGCGACGCTCGGTGTGTTTCACCTCCGTTCAGACAGGGGGCAGTACAAACTGAACTTCAGTGCAGCGCAGCAAGCCTGCAGTGCAGAGGGAGGTGACCTGGCCACGTATATGCAGCTGTCCTACGCTCAGCAGGTCAGTGAACACCTCATGCACACAGTAGTTCACGTATGTCATCACGTAGTCAAACTGCTGTGTCTCCGCAGGGCGGGCTCAACATGTGTGCTGCTGGCTGGTTGGACCAGGCCCGGGTGGCGTATCCCACCACCTACTCCAACCCCAATTGTGGCTTCGGACATGTCGGCATCGTGGACTATGGAGTCCGCAAGAACCTGAGCGAGTCGTGGGATGTCTTCTGCTACCAGATGAAAGGTGAGCGAGGAAGAGGCGGATTATTCAGATTATTAACAATATTTGTAATAAATATTAAATTTTAAATTTATTTTGATAATTTATAAGAAAGTTTTTACCTAATTTGAGTTGGAGGTTCAATAAAAACATGTAATCAGGACGTATTGATCAGAGAGGCTGTGATTGGTTGCAGAGGTCAGGTGTGAGTGTCAGGTGGGTTACGTTGGAGATGGGTTCAGGTGCACAGGAAACCTGCTGCAGGTGCTCATGTCCACGCCGACCTTCTCCAACTTCCTCACGGTGAGTCCCAGACTACCAGGACACATTAAATCTGATGACATCATCGTGACCTCAGTCTTTCTTCTTCAGCAAATCCTGAACTGCTCTCAGGTGTCGTCGTCAGGGAAACAGTTTGTGGAGCGTCTGAGCAACTTGACGGTTCAGTCCACGCTGTTCGTACCCGACAATGACGGACTGCCTGACAACCAGGTGAGACGAAAACCAAGATCTTGTCCTTCCTCATCAACTCCCTTGACCCTCATCAATCTTCACCTGTCCTCGTGTCCCTGCAGACTCTGTCTCAGTGGGACATTGAGTTCCACCTGTCCGAGGGGAGGGCTCTTCCTCTCAGCGAGCTGAAGAACGGGAGTCGGATCAGAACAAGAGTCGGGAGTCTGAGGGTCCTCGGAGTGTCCGATCTGCTGGACCCCTCAGCTCTGGTCAGTAATTACATCCTGTGTCCATTAGGGGGCCATGCTGCCCATCCCCAGACATGTGACAGAATTAGAATTAGCCATGAGTTAGATTTTGATGAACATGGCAACGGTTGTGTTGTTTGAAATTATTTCTTTTCCTCAGTCCTCTCGTTACATCAACGATCGCTTTGTCACCAACTCGGACATTGTGGCCTCAAATGGAATCATACATGTTCTTCAAGGTCCGCTGAAAGCCACCCCCCCTCGCCAAGAGGTGAGGTTTGTCATGACAATAGCATCCATACATCCTGACCCCACATGATTGGTAACTATGACTGTGATGGTTCTGCAGATGCATGTGGGGCACAAGGCAGGAATGGGAGTGGGTGTGACCCTGCTGGTGATTCTGGTGGTGGCAGGCATGTGCGTGGGATACAACTTCTACAAAAACAACAACAAAGGATTCCAGTTCCACTACTTCAAGGTGTGTGTGTGTGTGTGTGTGTGTGTGTGTGTGTGTGTGTGTGTGTGTGTGTGTGTGTGTGTCGAACGCTTGATGACATCATCTGCAGTCTGTCAGTGCTGTAATGGTATCAAGATCCCACCCACACACACTCTCAACCAATCCTTAGTCAGTGTCAGCTGTCAATCATGATGTCTCCGCCTGTTTTTATATCATCAAATAACTGATTCAAACCAAACTGATGAGAAACACTTGAACAAACATCAGAGAGAGAAGAACGAGCTGAGATGACAGAAACATCTTTGACAAACATTTAACGTCTAATTCATTTTTTGTTTGGTTCATGTCCCATCTGCCAACATGGAGGAGGGTTTATGACTCATACTGCAGCCAGACACCAGGGGGCAATCCAGGGTGGAGAAAAATGTTTAAATTAGTGAGACATTTAATTAGTGTAGAATATTTTCTGGTTTCATTGATAAATCGTCTTTGTTCCTTAAAAGGAGGATGAAGAGGAGGAAACGGTGCCCCCTGCAGGCAGCAGCATCTGTAACCCTGTTTATGAAGCAGCTCCAGAGTCAAAGACGTCTTACGGCACAGTGAGTAAACGTTTGACCACAGACACACAACATCATAACTTCAGCACATTCTCTGATAATCAGCTGTTTCCAGTCATTTTTGCTTAAAACATTATCTGTTTAAAATTAGGTTTTTGATTTGACGCTGATGTTTCTAGACTGAACTAAATGAGTCTGAGCGAATCTCAGCCATTTTAACCTCAGAATGTTTTCAGGCCAAACAAGTGGTGGCGGACGGAGGATCGCACGACCTACTGCAGGACGGTTGAGAGAAGCTGCAGCGTCATACTCATGCTCCGAGTTTCCGTCAGCTGATCACATTGAGCGTTCGATGGACGATGAAGTGTTGTCATCAGGTTTCAGGTGCTCCTGATTGACTTAGTAATGTAAACAATCACATGTAACTGAGAAAAGATGTTTCATCAAATAAAAAAACAAAAAACGGGTGACGTGACTTTTAATTCAAAGAACGTTGACTGCAACACAGCAGCTGATTGGTCAGAAGATTGTTCTTGATAAACTGAATGTTTGTTAAAAGAAGAACGTGATTGGACAACAAACAGTTTCCAGCCAAACAGTATTTTCAGGAGTTGTCCGTCACCTTCGTGATCCAAGAATGAAAATCTGACACTGCGGTGAAGACAGACGGTTTGTCTACGTCACAGCGCCGACTGCCCCATGTGACCACACCAAACAGGAAGTAGGAACTGCGCTTCCGACAGTACAAGGGAGCTCCGGAGTCGCCCTGTGGAGGAAAACACCAGGTGTCAGTCCAACGTCACTACACCCCCAACTTCCGCCTCCCCCCACGCTGACAGGCGAACATGTCGCCGGTCGACTAACGTGACGTTTACACTGCGTTCACTGACATCAGCAGTTCATCCAGTTTATAAACTTACCATGCAGGAGGCGGAGCCGGCAGGATCAGCACAGATGTGAGAGTCAGCGACGAGTCCTTCCCCCCAACGCCCCCTGCAGGACGTCCCGTTCACCAGAGTCAATCCAACATGGTGGAGACGATCAGGATCAATGTGACCTATACACACACATGGGATTTTTCTTCCTTAATATTTTATCCATTTGGACTTGTCCTGTCCAAAGGTCACGGAGGTCAGCAGTCACCTGTTGCTTTCGTTGTGCCCCAGCCGGTGGTGAAGCAACTCCAGCTGTCATTGAGCTCCTCGTCCTCGTCAGGGACACAGACTGGAGACACATTTGAATCTGAGACAGAACAGAGGACACTTTCAGGTGTGACATTCAGATGTGGGACAGACGTGGATTTGTGAGACTCAAAATGAGTTTGTGTTCATACTAAATCTGGCAGAGATGCTGAGGCGGAGCAGAGACAGGTCGGATTTTGGTGGGAAGCTTCCGTCATCCGGCAGATTGAAGACCTCATCCACTGAGGCGGTTTGGGACGATAAGAACCGCATGTCATGAATTCCCAGAACCACCACGTCGTCTTTGGCTCTGTGGAGAATAGTAAAGGTTAGTAACAGCAGTGACAGAACCAGATGTCACGAGGCTGCCAATGTTTACCTGACGTTGCAGTGTTTGGCAGTGATGACCCACTGGTGGTGGATCAGCACACCGCTGCAGTAGTGGCGTCCGTTGGACTGAAGGCTGACCTGCCAGGGCCAGAAAAAGGGACAGGACTCCGTCACGTTCTCCACAGACACATCACCGTCTTGTGACATCAAGAGACCGGCGATGCCCGGAGAACGACCACAGCTGGAGCTCTGCAGCCTCCCGCACCTGTCGTCTGTCGCCAGGTCACATGACATCATGACAAACATAAATAACGAAGGCCATCTGAGCACGAGATAAAAACAGCGTCAGGTCAAACGAACCTCCGTCAGCAAGCTCGTCTTCGTACATCATCTTATCTGAAAGAAAAACAACAAACTCATCACACGTTTCAGGTGGAAACTCAGGTGTTGGATCGTCTGTGAACATACTCATGTTGTCATACAGCCACTGGGTGTGTTGTTGCAGTTTGGTGTAGACTCCCGGTCGTCTCGCTCGTCCACAACCAACGCCCCAACTTATCAGACCCGCCAACTTGTACTTACTGCCAGTGAAGCAGGACAGAGGACCGCCAGAGTCGCCCTAACAGCGATGGACGACAAGGTTATAGTTAGATGTTAGAAGTTATAGACATCAGAGGCGAAGATGCAGACGTTAGAGATGAGGGACACAAGGTTACGGACGTCTGAGACAAGGTTACAGGCAACGACAGATCAGAGAAGAGGAGACAATGAAGAAACTAAAATGTTTGACAGATGTGACTCATCACGTCTGACTTGTTTTAAGAGTCCAGGTTCTGATGGTCTTCGCAATCGGACTCTGACAGGTTCTCACCTGACAGGCGTCCACTCCTCCTCTGTCCCTCCCAGCACAGAACATGGAGGACCTGATCCTGCCACTGTAGTACTGGTTACAGACATCGGGGGGCAGCACGGTGACATTCACCTCTTGCAGTCTGTGGACTCGAGGTCCGTCTGGTAGAAGACAAGAGACGTCAGTAGGCGTCAGACTTGACAGACATGGAAGCAGACCTGCTCTCAGGTGTGCGAGGACTCACTCTCTCGGGTGGCGCCCCAGCCGGTGATGGTGCAGCGCTTAAACAGCGGCAGAGGACTTGTCCAGATGTTGATGGGTCTGACAGACGTGGTGATGATCAGAGGTTCCTGCAGCTTCAGCAGAGCCACATCGTTCTCTTTGGTCCGACGGTTGTAACCATGGTGTATGATGATGAGCGCCACAGCGACCAACTGAAAGTTGAGATCACACCCAAGACACAACAGGTTTTGTTAATTCATATAATCACACAAACACACACACACAC